AGAACGCCCAAAAGCAGGCAACACAATCGTTTAGAGTTCTATTTCCATTTCCATAGCAGCTCTATTCAAACTAAGATGAAGCTCTAGTCTAACCTAGGCCAATGAATAGGATTTATATGCAAACTTTTCAAGCTATATTTAGCTATAAATAGCTTTGGCTTTGTAGGCCTTTGCTAGGATGTTACAGCCTTTCCGAAACATTTCCTTCTATAACTCGTTTATATCTTGCCTGGATGTAATATGGCTTAAATAATATTTCGAATCGAATTTTAGCTTGAAGCCATTTGTTAAGGCCAATAAAGTCTTCCCTGTTGTTTAGTTAATTGCAAATGCGTGCGTGAATTCGGATTAGCCTCGTGACATGTTGCATGTTGCATGTTGCACAAGTGCCACAAAAATCTGAGCAACTTCTCAGCTCTCCACACTGCGCTTGAAACAATTTACTTGCCCGCAATTTACTTCAGTGCAACCGGAGGCCATTAAGTTGTCAAGATTTGATGTCAAGCATTTTGATGTGCCGCAGCAGCAACACGATTGATACGACAGACAGGGGACAGGGAGCGAGGAAGAACGGGTGGGATTGGGCTTGGCCATTGGAATGGGTGAGTGCAAGGGGCACATTTATATAAAATACAAGTTGAAGCATGATTTGATGATTATAGACTAGACTTGGCGCTCGAGCGAGCGCAAAGAGTCTATTTGCGGGCCAAAACCTGATTACGACATCCCAATAGCAGCGGCAGGCCAAAGGACGGAGTACGACGCTCGGATTGGGAAGCCTGCACTTTCGATTCCTGGCCAGGGACCGCAAAACGGGCAGACACAGAGACACAGAACCAGACTGACAGACACTGGAGCAGCAGCGCATAGCGAAGGACGACAACAGCAATAGCATTTGGGCCCAGAGCCAACGAACAGAAGGAAAGGGTTGACGGGCTGCGGACATTTTTCAGCGTATGCGGCCCAAGGGCGAACGCGGCAAATAGTCGAGAAATGGAAACCGGAAATGTTGTTACACGCCCTGCCACCCCCTGCCCTGGACCAAGCACAGCCGTAGAAAAGTGCAGTTGCCTCACAAGCTATGCCGGAAATGGGCGCAAATGCGACAACGACAAGGATAAGCACGTGGACGGGGCGGGCATGTGGTGGCTGTGTGTGTGTGTGTGTGTGTGTGCACGTGTGTGTGTTGAGTGCTGTGTGATTTGTGCGCCATGCAATAATTTACATGCAATTAAATGCCCAACCAAATGCAATGAACAAGCCACAAATGGCCGCAAATCACTTTCGCCCGCATTTCGCCATTTGAAGCAAGTGTGAAAATTGTAAAAATGGCTAAAAACTGGCAGAAAGTCTATATATATATATTCTTGATCAGCATCAACAGCCGAACAGAATCTAGCCATGTCCGCCTGTCCGTCCGTATACATGAACACAAGGATCTCGTTACCCATATGAGCTAGAGGAATCGAAATCGAAATCCTGTTTTATGAGCAAATCTCTTCAGTTACAAGAGCTAGAGTCACCAAACGTGACATGCTATATATTTGCTGGATCCCTCGGTCCATCCGTGTCTATTCGAACTTATCCCTCAGTTTTAAAGCTATCGTCATGAAACCTTGCACAGGTTTGTGTTTTTTAGTTGCAGACTGGCTGTCTGTTGGTCGGAACCAGCTGAATCGAATCACTATATAGAAATTATTTATCCTTATTTATGTTTTCACCAAGAAAGTAATAGAAACTGTTTAATGGAACACAAAGCGCCGCAATTGTTCACTGGCAAATATATGTACTTTAGCCATTCGAGCGTCTGTTTGTTTGTCGCTGTCACAGGCACAACATTTAAATTTACGAGACACGGCCACGCCCACTGGCGACTGTGACCAATAAACGCCCTCTACTAGAGGGTTCGCATTTGAAGTGCAAAAGTGCAAGTGATATTTTGTGGAATGTAAGATTTTTTGGCTGCTGCAGCACCTCGATGTGAGCGGTGGCAGCTGTTGACCACAGCAGCTGGCTGCAAACGGCGGCGAGTAAGGCCAGTAGGAGGGGGTGAGGTGGGTGTGAGGTGGCACGACAGTCAACGAACTGTTAAGTGAAAATGCATTTGGAATTGCAATGCGAGTCAAATGCATTTCTAGGGCTTCCTTTTTCGTCTGAGCGCTTAAAAGCTGCCTATGCGCACAATATGCCACCTGTGCACCTGTGTGTGTGTGTGTGCTTGTTTGTGTGTGTGTGTGTGTGTGTGCGTGAGTGCATTGCATGGCAATGCAATGAACTGGGCGTGTCCGAACGCCCACATGTCGAAGCACCCAAAGGGGCAACTGATTGCAACTATTGTTTGAGCTGCAAACAATGCGATAGGTTTACATGCATGTATATACTACACACACACACACACACACACACACACACACACACAGATTGTTACTTATATAAATGTATTGAACTGCGTCTGCTGCTGGTTGGCTTTAAATTGCGTTACGCCTTTTTATTGTTAGCCACATTCGCTTAAATTTGTCAAGGCATCCATAAAATGCAGACACGCTTGCTTCCTCTCTCTCTCTCTTGCTCTCTCTCTCTCTCACTCTCTCTTTTACTAGCCAGAGCACGCCTGGGCTATCCTTTGTGCATTATTCTTGCCCTGTCGCTTGTTAAGACATTTTTACGCTCGTTTTTGTCCTTCGCAAATTGCATTTCCGTGACGGGTCAGCACAAACAGCCCGCATCAGCCTCCCCCCTGCGCGCCTCCCTCCAGGCAGCTGACCACATTATTGAATCAGTGTATAATGCTCTTTTGTGCTCTGCAGCTTGCAGCATGCTTTAAGCGTTGCCACTCGGCCCGCCCAGCTACACCACACACCCTTCCCCGACGCTGTCTATCGTCTGCATGTAAACAAATCAACACAGCCAAAAAGTATGCTTTAAAAAAAAAACGTTGCAATGCAGCCAAATCAAATAAACATATCAAGCCCCTTGGCCTCGGCTACTGCCTGGCCCTGCCCCCGCAGCCCCTGTTGCTGCCCCACCCCTCCGAGTCATCTACGAGTTTTTTCTTCTGCTTTTTTTTTTTTGGCTGTTATCTTCTTGATGGCTCTGCTGCTGCGTTTCGCTTTCAGCTGCTTATTGAAAACTCGCACAGAAATCATAAACAACGCCGCGGGGCGTCCATATTCGTTTTAAAAAAAAAAAAAAATTCTCTACCCCTCTAGCCCGCCCCCTTGCTCCAGACTCGCCATTCTAAATCTAGCTGCGGCCCCCGCTACAGTTGGCATTTATTGAAATCTGAAAAAATATAATTGCATGCTTTTAGGGTTGCTGAGCAAAATTGAAAAGCACACGCACACAAACATGCACACACACACACAATTGCTTAGCAAATCAGAATGTACACTCGCACAATAGCATAAAGAAAACGCTCGAGTTTCTTAAATCTCTTTCGCATGCCGTTTGAATTGAAAATAAACAACAAATAGAATGGAAGATTCTAATTGGAAGATCTTGAGAGCAGCTCTTACTTCAAAAACATAACTAGAATATCAACATTGTGATTTGGAACAGCTTTAAAAACAAGTCTAGAAGTCATTCAAGTCTTTTGGAGTAGCACAAGATATTGCAATACCCTGCTTAACAAGAATATGCTAGTAAATCTGGCATATATTAAATGTTTTGAGCATCTAATGCTTACAGTCTATTGTGCAGTTCTAGTATATTTAACATATCCTAAATGCAGAGTTAGTTTACTTAGTCTTGAACTTTTTGTAGATCTGGCAACTCTGGTACATCTGGGAAGGGGATTACATTAAGTCTAAGCTAGATATGCGACAATTGGCTGGCCTACATACTTACGTATATATGAGTCCAAACTTGTAAGTGTATTCGATAGATATACTTCGTGTATGTAGCAGGCCGAAAACCTCAAGAATAAATGGTTCGTTTCACGGTTTGAGCCAGCCACCAGTTCCCTTTACATGCCTTGGCTTTGAAATTAATTTGATTTTTTATTTCATAAATGCCCGTTCTGCCGAAAATATTGCAAAACCTTAAATATTTGCAATTTGCAAGATGCGGGCTAGATCTAGCTTTAAATAGTTCAGTTGAATTTGAAATTCTTGAGGTTGCATTGCGTTTTGGCTTATATTAAAAAGGTAAACTAGAATTCCTGGCTTGGGCCGGCTCGGATCAGCCCTGGCATGTAGTCAATATCTGATCTATCCAATGTTCAATGTGTCTGAATGTGTTAGAAAATCTCAAACGAATTCAATGGAGAATTCTCCAGCTCAGTTGGAACACTCTGAACTATGTCAAGCTTTTTCTCTAAGATTTTGTATGTTGGCGATTTGCTGGCGAAAAGGATTTGCATTTAGGAACTGCGTCTCGGACAAGTAATTTGTTGTGCGTGACTTTAAGTAAAAGGCTCATTATGAAAACTTTTTGCAGGCGATTAACAAAAACGGCAAGCTCCTGGCTCGGGCGGTTCCGGGCTGCAGCAGCGCCTGCTCCTTCTGGATAGCGCGGCTGCCGCGTCTTGACCAGGTCGGAGTCTGAGTGGTAGATGCCAGCTTCAAGCGGTTGCCACACGACTTGGCTGCTTTGTCGCAGCGTCTGCAAAGTTTTCTTTGGCCGCCAGGACAAAAGCGCACAAGTAGACAAACGGCAGGCGGAGGGTGGAGGGGGGCAAGCTAGCGAGGCATTGCATACTTGCAGGCGTCGCGGCGTATGGAATACCAATTTATCATTTATCATTGTTTTTTGGAAAATGGAGAAGGGAAATTTATGTGCGCACATTTTTAACGCAACATTTAACGCGAAAAACAGACCAGAGACAGGGAGGGGCGGTCGGTGTTAACAAGTCGGATGTCGCAGTGAAAGGGAATGGAATCAGGCGCTGATTTACGTGGCGGAATTATGACAACAGCTCACTTAGCCCCAACTGCTTACTCATCCTCCAACTCTCTCTCTCTCTCTTTCTCTTTCTGTTCCTCTTTCTCATTCTCTTGCAGACATTCATTGTGCGTGGCTCCAGCCAGCCGAATACAATGGCTGTGTCGGTCCGTCTGCCCCAGGATACGGGTCCATATATCGAGCACTATCTGATCCAATCGCAGGAGAACATACTCAGCCTGGAGAGCTCACGTTTCAAGTTCGGCTCGATTCCAGCCCTGATCGCACACTATGCCCAGTGCTGCGATGAGCTGCCCGTGCAGCTGATGCTGCCACGCGTTCTGCGCGAGGCTAACAACCGCAAGAAGCTCTCGTCGCTGGCCCTGCTCGGCCAGGAGTTCTGGCGTTATGCCAGTAGTCCGGTGGTGCTGGGTCCGCCTGTTGCCGCCAAGACGATTACAGCTGCGATCACAACTGCAACCTGCACCGAGCAGCAGCAGCAGCAGCAGCAGCAACAGCAGCAACAGCAGCAGCAGCAGCTTTTGGATGCCAAGTCGCCGCTCTCGCTGACCGAGACCAGCGGCCTGGGCACAGCCACATTCTTCAGCGATGCTCTGGCCGGCAAGCCGGCGGCTGTGGCGCCGCCGCAGTCGATGTTCAGCCCCACGGGCAGCGGTCAGCTGTTGGGCTTCTTTAGCCAGGCGGGCACACCCTCGGATACCAATTCGAGCATGAGCTCGTTCTCGACCAGCGGCGGCCAGCATATGCAGCTGCTCAGTCCCAACTCTGTGGATTCGGTCATACTAACCATGTCGCCGGTGGATGCGCAGGGCTATCTGCCGGGCGGAGCTGCCTTGGAGCCGCCAATGCAGCCAATGCAGCCGCATGGCAGCAACAATTTGAGCACCTTTAAGACAACATCAGCAGCTGTGGCGAGCATTACAGAGCTGGAGCAGGTGCGTCCGCAGCGTCCCAAGCCGCCGAACACATTGAATCTCAAGCCGCCGGCACCGCCCATGCGCTGGTCCAAGCCGCATTCGCCGGATCAGCTGGGCAATAATTTTACGGTGACCACCACGGTTACGTTTTCCATGGAGAACAACAATGGCAGCAACAATGGCGCCAACAATGGCGGTTCCAAACCAAATCCCGCACAATTTGTGGAGGTAACAACGCCCGCCTCGAGCAATCCATTCAATGCGCTCCTCAATTCTCAGGCCAGCACCAGCACGTTCCAGACCTTCGCCAAGCGTCTGTCGCCCGAGGGCGAGTGCAAAGATACGCTCTCCTCGCAGGGCTCCTCCTCCAATGACAGTCGCTGGCAGTCACAATCACAATCGCAGTCGCACTCCCAGTCCAGTCGCGACTCCAGCCAGAGCCAGCGCAAGATGCTCTCCCCAATGACACCGAACAGCGCTGGCCTCATGCCCGGCGGCGGTGGCGGCGGCGGCGGCGGCGGCAGCAGCAGCAGCAAGTCACGCAAATCACGCAACCGCAAGGAATCCAAACACTATCAGGAATCGGACATACTGGAGAGTCCGCCCGCGCAGTATTGCGCCAGTGCGCTAAGCGACAAGATCAGCGACTACGAGGACGTCTGGACGCACGATCCCAGCGATCGGGCCAGTCTGCTGACTAGCTTCAAGCCCGGTCTGGATGCTCCTGGCGTTCTCAACCGACGACCCGATCTGCTAGCCGAGACACGTAAGTACCCAACTTTTACTAAGGGAACCCAGTTGCTCGTTCCGCAAATACTTATTTTCGGTTTGCCATTCAACTTCTCGATTTGAGATTTATGCATGCAAAACTTGCCGGAACTCAAACGAAAAGCCAACCGTTTGTGTTTTATTCCCAATGAGTTCTTAAAAGTCATTGGAACGAAAGGTAGGACTTTGAAAAATCTGCATCCAAGTTGGATTGTCCGTAAAACGTGAAACACCACTCAGAACAATTTTGACAAAGATCGTTGAAAATGAGCTGGAGCCCGATTGCGTTTGAGTCGATCCGTGTTGGCTTGTTCCATCAATCAGTCCGTTAGTCAGTCGGGATTAATATTTGTATTAATAGAGATTGTTTGGAACTGGATGCAGGTCGAGTAGGGAAGGTTTTCCTGAATGACTCGACTTGGTTCTATTATAGATTCGTTAGCTGCTGAGATTTCGCTGGACCCGATACATCAGTCGAGCCGCACTTAACTCTTTCCCCCTTTGTACTTTCATTCCTGCAGCCAGCACACCCACACAGCAGCTGCTGTCGCCCTGTGAGGAGGGCAGCGGCAATCACGACACCAGCCAACAGCTGTTGCAGTTCTCCGGCGATGCACAGCCACGCTCCCGGGCCGGGCTGCTGTTGCCGAACCTGACCAACGCTGGCGCGGCGCCACTCATGACGCAGTCGCTCACGGAGCAGAGCGGCGGCGATGATGGCGGGGATACCACGCCCACTGCCGCACAGACGCCTGGATCGCGCAGCAAGCAGGGCAGTCCGTTTTATGCTGAGCCGGCAGACGCACTGCGTCAGGCTGGCTTCACCAGCGCTGCGGCGGCCATATTGCGGCGACAACAACGCAGCCAGCTGCTGCCCGCCAATCAACGGCACTCGGAGCCGCTCAAGGGCGGCCTGGCGACGACGGCGGCGCCTCTACTGCTGCCCGCCGAGCTGGAGAAACTGGCCGGCAGCCTGGACGAGCTGAAGCAGAAGCCCAAGCCCATGGCAATGGCCCAACAGCCCGCCAAGCGCGGACGCAATCGCATCGAGCACTGGCAGCTGGACAGCAGCTGGGAGTTTATGGCCAAGCAAGAGACTAACGGTGGCGACTACGACACTGCGGCCGATTGGCAGGAGAAAGAGAACTCCTTGGGGCGCGACAAGGATGCGGCGGGCACAAAGAAGCGTCCACTCACCGTACACCAGATCATTGCCAAGCGTCTGCCCGACCTGAATCTGCCGGAGCTGGTGCGCTGCTCGACGCCGCCCCAGACACAGGCGATGCAGACACAGACGACGACGGCGCCGCTGCAAGAGAAGGCGAACGTCGATGGCAGCCAAAAGTCATTCCAGAGCCAAAACGGATGTCGGCTCTCCGCGTACGACAACGTGGAACGCAACTGTGCCGCCTTCTGTCAGACCTACTATGCCGGCATCGATTCGGCGCAGTCGGACGACGGCACCGTCTTCTCGGAGCCGTGGGACTCGTCCCAATGGGACTCCTTTATGCCCATGCAGGATGGTAAGTGCCAGGCTCCCATTTAAACAAATGTATACAGCTTGACCAGACGAATTGTTTGTTGTGCTTCTTCCAGATGCTACCATCAACTCAGACTCCATTCATTTGTCGAAGTGCCGACCGGCGCTCTCGGAAGACGACACCATCATCGAGGAGTTCAGCAGCACCAAAGACGGCAGCAACAGCAGCTGCAACCAGGATACGCTCAAGGCCAATAAAAATGCCACCGGCGCCGGCGCTGGCAGCAACAACAACAACAACAACAACAACAAGGCAATACGACCCAAAGTGGCCACCATTTTAAGAAATCCAAGCATGCGGGATCGGGAGATACTATGTAAGTATTCCAAAAGTAGATGCGCTGGCAAAGATCAATGCATTAAGTTAGGTTAGGTTAGGATAAGATTACACAGATGGAAGACAACAAGACATCGCACATCGATCGCATGGCATCTTTGATCACGGAAGAATGTTATGCAGCCTAGCAATTTATTTGCCCCAAGATCTAATTTACATGTGTACAAAGGAAACAGAGATCAAACTAAGCCGGATCATAACTGTATCATAATGATCATAAGATCAATAACCTTACGATAGGAAGATCATCAAATTGGATTGAAGTCACATAAAAAAAAAAGAGAGAGAGGAATTGCAGGAAAATGGAACAACTTCTTTGCGAGCGACTCAACTATATATGGAGGACAGACTCCAAATGGACATGGAGAGCTTAATGCAAGGCTAAATGTTAATCGCCAGCCGATCGGCAGATCAATAACTACTTATTACGCTTCAAAGGGAATAATTTATAAGCATGGAAAAAGGAAATCTTGCATTTGAGCTACATCAGATCTATGCACGGCTTGGAACTGGACGGTCACACTGCACAGTCGATCGTCATCATCATCAACATCATCGGCATCATCATCATGCTCATCGTATGCTCAATTGCAATCGCTTGTTATTGTTGCATCATTCTACGCACCGTGGCCTCCATGGAGCGGCAGACAAAAGCAAATACAAATACAAGTACAGCGAGATCACGAGCGATTATCGTCGTCATCGTGCGCCTATTGACTGACTGATTCATTGATTGATTAATTGATTGATTGATTGAGCGCACGGGTGAATTGCCCGTCTTCCAAATCGAAGCAAACGCTGTAGCCAGTAGCAAGTGTACTCGACAAACTGGCGCGAACTGGAAAACCTAACCCAAGCGGATTATCAGCTGCTGCTGCTGCTGCTGCTGCTGCTGCTGCTGCTTTGTAGGCCTATGCGGTCTGCGGTCTGCAGTCTGCGATCTGGAGTCTGCGATCTGCAGACTACAAAGCCTTTGCCGAAACTTATCTGCCGCGCAATGCATTCGCCATTTGCTCCGCCGATTCCCGATGCCCGCACTGCAGCATTAAATGGCGTCGCAGTTGGCTAGCTAAACAAATTTGATAAGTTTCAAGCGATCAACATAGAAAGATTCTCTCTCACTATCTGCCGCTCTCCTCTCTCTGGCTCTCTCGCTCTTTATATATAAATATTGGAGCTGTCGACTGTGGCGGCGGCGGCGGCGCGTCGTGCACTTTGGAATGTAAACTGAACGGAGCTGGCTGCGTTTTTATCAGCGCGCGTTTTAAAACGCGCCGTGTGTCTCGCCGCTCAATGGGATGCGTAATTTGCCAAGCTCAAGACCGATTAGAATTTCCAACTCAGACGTTTCGAATCTCTTTGGCTATTTTGGGTCAGCGTTGGACAAACATAGCCTATGGCTGATGAAATGCAATATGCACACACAATGGGCGCGATTTTATTTTTAGACTTGGGTCCACCCCAAACTACACGTGTCTTGGCTGCTCTCCAGCCAGCTTAACTGTTTGCTCCACCACCCACCATCTCATATAAACAAATCTAATTAGCAACATTTTCAGTTGTCAAGCGTTTCGGCGATAAGCACAACTCTGGATAAGCAAACGGCTGTAGAAGACGGTTCGCTGAACTTGTCTAAAAAACAAAATAAAAAGTAAAACAAAGTCAATAAAAATAGGCCCAAGGTCACCTTGAATACCCTTAAGTTGGAAAATAGCCGCTAATTAAGATAAAAACGCCACCAATTAAACTAACTGCAAAACGAGGCTGTCTGCTCGGATCCCACAATAGCTACTAGCCAGATGTTGTAATAGCCCTATTCGGACACAACGAGAAAGAGCTAAGTAAGGCTTGTATAGAAAGAAGGCCAAGGATTGCTGTAAGATATTCAGGCCCAAGTCCTGGATAGTTTTTGCAGAAAATTAAAGCAGACTCTACGAGATATATAGCGTAGTGAGTAGTTCAACCAGCTTCCGCACTAAGTTATGTTCGTTGCTTTACAACACTACACCTGGCTTTTAATAGCGGGACAAGGCTCGCAGCGCGTACGAAACAAGAGTATTCAGCTAATTGAGATATGTTCGGTGTCTTACAACACTACTAATGGCTTTTAAAGGAAAGAAACAGGCCTAGGTTCGTAGTCCAGACTCTATTCTGTCGTTCTAACAGAAATCAAAGCTGTCTCTACCATATATATAGTGTATTTGGAAGTTCAACCAGCTGCCGCCTTTGCAGCCCGGTGCTTGACAACACTGCCCATGGCTTTTATGGAAAAAATATATGCAAGACTAGTTTTGTATCTTAGGCACAAGTCGTGTGTTGCTCTAGCAAAAAGTCCAGCCAGCCTGTATGATTAAGCACGTTCAATAGTTGTGGCAGCTGTAAGATATGCCCGGTGCTTTACAACACTACTCATCGTGAATGAATATTGTTACTTTGGGCTATTTTTCAAACATTGTCAGCTTGTATTTGTATCGAAATGAGTAACTCGCTACGCTAGATTATGTTTCCCCCTTAACGATTGCACAGTATTTAATCATGTTTTGGCTTCTATCAGCTTTGCTTTTTACCTAGCATTTAATGGTGCTCCGATATAACTTGATTATATTTATAACCGGAAAAGGGGGCCTTGAAAAATGTGAAATCCAGAGAGCAAGTTCGATTCGCAGCCAGTTTCATATATAGGCTATGGGTTTCTTATAAAAAACCGACTGGTTCGGGTTCAATTAGGGGTAAACTCTTTGCTGACGGGAATCGCAAAAGCCTTGTCTTCCCTCCCCCTTTAACTTGTTGAGAATTACAAGCGTTCAGTACATAGTCCATATTATGTGTATTTTACCCTGGCCAATCATAAATAAGTCTAATAGATAATGAAATAACTTTATGTCGAGTCTCAGGGCGCACTTCCTGTGCACACAGACGCACACAAGCACCTTCACGTAGGCCTCTGCTCCAAAGGTTCTTCCGAATTGCGCAGCAGTAAAAAAAAAAAATATAGAAATAAAATAGATTTCAAACCAATTCCTCAAGTTGAGTTTAGGCTTTGAAAAGCTGATGCAATCATGAGGTGCAATTGCATTAGGCGGGAATCTCTCATAGATCATGGCGCGAGGAGTCTTTCATTGTTGTCTTAGACAGATTGTCTTAAGAGAGTTATCTCGCTCTCTCTCTCTCTCTCTCGCTCTCTCTCTCTCTCTTTTTGATGTGTGTAATTGAATGCAGTTTTCCAGCTGTGCTTTTAGCTCTCGACTCTCAGCTATGAATCAACTCTTTATCTCAACAGCCTTGCGTACCGCGCCGCTCTCGAGTCCACATCGAAACCCAGCTCTCAGTCGCAACCCCTGCTGAAATACTGACTACTTACCTGTTCAGGCCTTTTTGCACACGTGCTATTATCGTCTTGAATGATTTGTGTTTTTCTATCCTAGTGTATAGATTTGACGCCTCAAGCCTGAGTCTTGGCTTTGCCGTCCCTCTGCCTCTGCCTCTGCCAATGCACAGCCCACTTTTCCCACTTGCCGCTGACTCAGTGGCAATTTCCTCTTGACACAGTTTTGCTTGCGCCCGAGCTCAGCCTGATAAAGCTATGACTGGCTCAGCTTAGGACTTGCGCAAAGATCGGACGCAGGTAACGCCGACGTCGGCGCAATCCCGGAAATTCCCGAGTGTGTTGCCCAGATCAACAGCAGCCCAACAAAAAAAAAAAAAAACAACCTCAACCTGGGCAGGTAGGCGGCAACGGGCGGGTCGGACGGGGGGTTTAGGCAAATTGAGGTCGCTGCGTCTCGCAATTTAGGCCGCAGCTGCGCAGTTGACGTCGCGCTAGTTGCTATCTTTTTGTCACTGTCGACGGCGACGGCAACGACGACGTCGACGTCGACTTCGACTTCGACGTCAGCGTCGGCGCAGCGCAGTCGTCGTTATCGTTGTTGCAGTCTTATAAACTAATGCGTATGAAGTTCAGCATTAGTTTTGCATTGGCCGCGTTTAGAGCAACAACACGCAACGGAAACATTTTTGCAACCGCCAATCAATCAGCGATAACAAAAAAATATAAATATATATCGATCGACGATAACGTTTTATCGATCGATAACAGCCACAGCAGCAGCAAGAAGAACAGCCCATCCGCAGCGTGTGCCGATGAGAAACTTGCGTTTTCGCCAATTCGTTTTAGCTGGCAAAAATCGCTACAGAATTTATCATGAGCTGGTTCAGAAGATCGTCGCGCGCACACCCCGCGAACCGCCCGCAGCGCGGCATGGCCGTTCCCAATAATGCCAACAGCTGCCCAACACAAATGGATATGTCGAAATCGCTGAGCAGCCTGGACGAGCAGCGCATCGAGCGCCTCGAGCCGGAGGAGTTCTTTCACGATCCGGTTCATGTGCAGCACTACAAGGAGGAGGCCATGTTCCTTAGCTTTATGGCCGAGTGGGAGATTGTCGAGCATCCGCAGCAGGAGAATTTCTTTTCGGCCGACTTCGAGGAGGAGCTGCTGCAGCAGCGCACTCACACCATCACCATCATCAATAGCAGCAGCAGCGGCAGCGGCTGCGACAGCAGCACGGATAAGCTAGCCAACTGCTCGGCAAGATCTCCGCCTGCGGTGCGCCGTAAACGCAAGTTTCTGGAGCTGCTCTTCGTGGACAACATACAGACGGGCATTGTGCCGCCCAGCGCCGAGGGCGAGAACAGCCAGCTGCTGCAGAGCTCGGTGCTGTGCAAGAAGTCCAAATATGCCAGCAGCAGCCTCTCGAGCATTGGCTCCGTTTCGACAACAGCGACGACTGCAACGGGAACCACAACGGCAACAATACGAGCCACAACGACGGCCACCTGTCCGCAACAGGTGCTCAAAGACTGCCGCATCAATCGCAAGCAACTGAAGACTGAAGCGCTCGCCGGCTCCATAATGGGCGCCATCGGTAAATGCCCCAATCCGGAGCTGAGCACCATTGGCTCGAGCAGCCTGGATGCATGCCATCCCGGCGAGCGTAATACCTGTGATCATTATGATATCAAGCAGTTCTTTCACCTCGACGAGCAGGGCAACATACTGCTCAATATGACGCACATTGTCGAGTGTCAGGCATTGGGGCTGGCGCTCCAGGCGCAAAGCCGTCGTCTCTATCGACGCTATCGCCGTGGCTGCGAGTGTGCCGATGAGAAGCGCACCCAAGCGTATCCCGGCTGCTGCACGCCATTCATCTGTTTGCTCCGACTGCTATGTAGGCTATTAATCGGTAAGAAGCTGGAGAGGATTAGCTGGGCATTGTCCGGAAATTGGCTGTCATCGGGCAGCTGTTACACAACCAGATGCACCATCTATAACAACTATCTTGCCTATCCGCTATCCGTATTTAATCCATTCCCATTTCCATTCTCTCTTTGCAGGCCATCCCCGCAACAAGATCAACGTACAGAGCGTGGGACCTGGCGACTCGCTGCGTGCATATACACTGCAGCTGGCCCAAGATCCGAGCTCCACATTTGCCCGCAACATCGAGAACTTCATCAGCTGCACCAAGGAGTCCAGGGAGGCGGCGCCCCAGGTGGTGATGCGCAACATGCGCCAGTTCATGAGCGGCATGAAAAACTATCTGGTTAAGCATGGTGAGGGCAAGTTCCATGCCGAGCTGGAGTCGGCGCGAGCGCGCCTCAAATCCGATGAGTTTCTCAATCTGGATGCCATGCTGGAAACGGTGATGCATCAGCTGGTGGTGCTGCCGCTGCGCGAGCATCTCTATGGCATCTTTGTGGACTACTACAAGCGCAGCGAGGACATCCAGCTGCTGGCCCAGAATGTGCGCTATGCCTGCGAACGGGATGCCACGGATTTTGGCATACGTGCCACAGTGACGCCGCCATCACAGACAGCACTGCGTCTCATTGCCAATCTGCTGTGGAAGCTGCAGGAGGCGGAGTTGCCGCTGGACAAACTGGAGCTCTTTCTGTGCGTCATCTCGACCGTGTTCGATGCGACGGGCTGCCCGCGCGGCCAGCAACTGGGCGCCGATGATTTTCTGCCCGTGCTGGTCTATGTGGTGGCCAAGTGCGGCTTTGTCGGCGCCGAAATCGAGGCCGAGTTCATGTGGGGACTGCTCCAGCCGACTCTGCTCAACGGTGAGCCCGGCTACTATCTAACCGCACTCTGCAGCGCCGTTCAGGTGCTCAAGACGTTCATGGCCTCTGAGGGTGAAAGCGGCAGTGGCTCCCTGGACGTAAGTGGCCCACCCATCCAATCTAATAGCAACAACTGCAACATACCCTCATCTCCCTCTCTCTCTCTCGTTTAGTGGCGCTCCAGCTGCTTGCCGGCCTGCTCGAGCGTGCTGCGAGTCATCATACCGGACGAGTGCAATGGATCGCTGCAGACGCGAACTCTGCCGGTGCGGCCGCACACGACGACGCGCGAGGTGTGCCGCATTATAGCGCACAAGGCGCGCATTACCAATCCGCAGGACTATGCGCTCTTCAAGCTAGTCGATGGCGAGGAGACGCTGCTCACCGATGCCGAGTGCCCGCAGGATGCCCGACTCGCTGCCAAGGGCAAGCACTGCATGCTCGCCTATAAGCGTATCGATGCCAAGATTGCCTGGCCGACAGCCGCCCAGCCGGGCAGTCATTGATGGTGTTTGTTGTTGCCGCCAGCATCCCAGCGACCATGACCCCGCCCTCGCTCTCGCCCTCGCTCTCGCCCTCGCCCTCGGCCCCGCTCCCGCCCCTGCCCGTGCCCAACGGCCCCATCTTGCTCACTAACAAGCATATTTGATTAATAATTTATTATTATTACATTAAAATATACTTAGTAGCCTGTAAGTAAAGCTAATTAACGCTAATACATCTAATGTGTACTAAACAAAAACAGTATTCAGTTAAGAGCGGTTTTTTTTTTCTCATCCATCGCCAACGACACCATCATCCATCATCCATCATCATCACCATCATCATCACCATCATCATCACCATCATCATCATGAATATCGTAATGAGAACACACACTCACGCAATCAAATTTTTTTTTTTGCTAATAAATATACGAATATAAACATATATAAACTATGTATACAACTATATATACCATATAGATATACATATATGTAGTGCGTAGTGGGCCAAAGTTATAGCACAAGGCCAATTATTCTAGAGGAAACACCTACACAGACACACATACACATTCACATACACATTCACACACACAGACACATTTAGACACCAATGCGTGTATTGCACTCTTGAAAAACAGTTTGCAATCCAGCTAGAAATACATCTACGATCTATAAGCCATATATCAATCCTACGACCAATTACTGCAACAACAAAACAATCACAATTTTAATAGAGCACATACACTTACCAACACACACTCACACACACTCACACACCAAGGCATTTATAGCTGTTTTTTTACTTGGAAGGGTTAAAAAATACAACACAAACTCTAACACATTTATTTACATATATATAACGTAATAATATTAACGTTTAACTTTAATATTTATGTACAACTAAAACCAACAACTGCTATTGGAAATCGTACTTTTTTTTGTTTTTTTTTTTATGTATACTTTGTAAAATATAGCAAACCACAAGGCAATTATTTAATGAATAATAAAACAATAATAATGGAAGTTGTACAATTTGTTACTTTGTAATCAATTTCAATGTAATCATAAAAATTGTAGCATACCTTACGGCAGTTGATCTAATTTTTATATTGTCAACAGTTGAAGTTGTAATTCACAATAGATTATATTTGCAGTAGCATACTCTTGGGCATAGCAAATAATAATGTTAATCGCTACCGTTTTAAAGTTGGCAATAGCTGAAGAAATCCTCAAAATTAAGACAATCATGTTTCATGCCAATCGATGGTCATGATCCGTACGAATCAAAAAGATATATCACTTCAATATCTGATTTTATTTTCCCGAGATATTCAAATTTTAAACATTTTTCAAAATATTTCAAATGTCCATAACTCCGTTAATTGAAGTCCGATCTTGAAAAGATATACCATTCTGGACTCGTGGAACTTTATAGAACAGAATGGAATCAACAATTTTTGATTTCAGAACAAACGCAATTTCAGCGAAAATTGTGATGTAACCCCTTGCCATTTTTCATGAATTTGATAAATCTATAGAATTGGAGTTTTTGAATGGCAATCGATAGTCGTGGTCCTTACGAGTTCAAAGAGGTATATCACTTCAATATCTGATTTTATTTTCCCAAGATATTCGAATTTTAAACATTTTTCAAAAAATTTCAAATGTCCATAACTCTGCTAATAGAAGTTCGATCTTGGAAAGATATACCATTCTGGACTTTATAGAACAGATTGGAATCATTTTGGTTTCAGAACAGACCCATATTTTGATAAATTTTGTGTTACTCCTTGCAAACTTTAGAATAGGATTTATAATAGTGATCCGTACGAGCTCAAAAAACCTGATTGACGTTTTAAATTGTAAGTGTATAACATAAAAACTCAATATGCCTAGCTCGATCAAAAGAAGATGCGGGCAGCCACCACCGCGCCGTTTATTCCCAAGATTTGAAGAACAAGGTCCTGAGCCGGGTAAAGCCGGATAGTAGCCGCTTACATAAGTCGCCGGATGGAATCACATATCAATGAAATAAGGTAGGGACCAGCTTCATAGAAGAAATATTTCTAAGCTCAAAGTTAATATGAATATTGATTTTACAGGGCAGACAGATCTTGGTCCAACTGCAGCTGAGCATATATATGTATATTGAAAATGAACTTGATATTCTTTAGGTAAATAGACTAAACACTAGTTCGAGGGCTATCGCGAATGTGGCGCCCGTCTAAAGACGTGTCCCGACTTTCAGCCAAATGGAAGACGACGCGACAGATAGATGATAATAGATTTGCCAAATTGATTATTTAACCAGGTTCTAAAGCAACGCAGCTCTGATGCACACATAAGCACATATTTAGTATATAAAATATTGGAAAATTAATTATCAACATGTGCCTCGACCCTTTGTGCCTGTGTGTGTGTGTGTGCTTTTGTTTTTTTCCCGTATGCAGCAATTTCACAAGACAACGACTAAATTGTCCCGTCGCTGTTTTAATCGTTAGCTCAGCTATTGTTGTTGTTGCTATTTATATATGGAATTTTTAATTTTGATGGCACATTTATTTAGGTGTGATAAGGACCACACACAGCCATACACACACACACACACACACACGCATACAACTGACGGCAGCCGGGGCATAAATTATACGAAAATACGTGCGCAAAAAACGCGCGCGACTTTAGCCGCGCACAGCAAACAATTGGCAATTGCCACCCCAATGACAGAGACAAACGGCCGCCACTGGCCCTGGTGCTTGGTACATGGTACTTGGAAAGCCAGCTGCTCATAAATTGCAACAATTCCATCTGATAATTGTATTGATATGCCTCAAAATCGGTCTGTATATATTCGGTCTGTATGTACGTATGAATAAATCGCCAACTGATCGCTGGCAAAGTCGCGTAGATCGCGTTTGCGCGTATTTGTGTATTTGTGTATTTTTGGTTTGTTGCTTATCAGCAAACGTCGCCGACAGAGACAACAACAAAACAATAATAATAATAGCCACGGCAACAGAAACAACAACAACACCAACAACAAGAGCAAATATAATAATAATATAAAACAAGTAAGAGGTTCTAGTTCTAGGGAGCTCCCGACTAGGGGATACCCTGAACCCTCTTCTTCCAACATCAAATGCATATATATATTCTATTTAAGAAGCAACATATCATGTTTTGTGACTCTAGCTCTTATTATTTACCGAAATTGCCCAAAAACCAGAATATCGATATCGATTTTTATCGATTGTGTGGAGACGGAGTAAGTTATCGATTATCGGAAACAAACTCGATCCGCGCAGGCACTAGGAGCACTTATATATAAAATTTCTATAGCTCTATAGCTCTTTCTAGTCTATAGCTCTTATTGTTTCGCGCGGAGTTCTGTCGTTTTGGAACGTCATATCACCGCGCGGAGCCGTCATCCGAGATATTATGTCGTTTTGGCACGCCATATCTCCGCGCGGAGCTATTATTCGAGATATTATGTCGTTTTGGAACGTCATATCTCCGCGCGGAGCTATTACCCGAGATATTAAAAAAAATCATCGAAAAAGTTTTGATTTTCGCACCGACCTCTATTTTGAAAAAACGTGATGATTTGGAAGGTCATATCTCCGCGCGGCGTTCTGTCGTTTTGGAACATCATATCTCCGAGCGGAGCTATTACCCGAGAGATGCACCTACATCTAAAATTTCAAGTCTATAGCTCTTATATGTTCTAAGATCCTTGCGTTCATACATACGGACGGACGGACGGACGGACAGACAGACGGACATGGCTAGATCGACTCGGCTATTGATGCTAATCAAGAATATATTTATGGGGTCGGAGATGCTTCCTTCTGCCTGTTACATACATTTGGATTTTGCACAAATACAATATACCCTTATACCCATTTCTAATGGGTTCAGGGTATAATAAAATAAAATAAAAAAAAAGGTCCAATGACGCGATAATAAACAATTTTGCACCCCAGATGTGTCCAGCTGCCCGGCCCAGAGACGCAGAAGTAGACCCCGCCAGCCAGGGGACAACCAGACCAGCGGAGGGGGTGCGGCACCTTTGATTAGACGCACTTAAGTACAAAGCAACAACAACAATAGCAACAACAACAACAGCCATATCAGCTGCTAAAAAATGTACAAACCAACAGTCAGCGCTGGCAGTTCAGCTAGTTTCTAGCCAACTTTGGCAATTTTCAGAGATGGTCAAGCGATGGTCATGCAGCTGCCCGCAACTTTGGCTTTTTTTCAAACAGATTTAGCCATTTTTTATATGTCTTTTTTTAAGCAATTCAATCCATTTTTTGACACTCAATACCTATTGTTATTTAGCACATTTGATTCGTTTCTACTATTTACTTATTTATCGTCTATCGATAACAAAATGTCAGGTTTTTGTCATCGCTAACTGAACGTATACGTAATTTTTACTAAATGCGCTGATTTGTTCTTTGAAATAGTGCCACCAACGAGGGCTTGTTTCACATGCAGACTTGAAGCACCGCATGCCATAATTTATTGCTATATAAGAATCAAGAACTTGCTTGGCCACAAAAGAGCATAATTGAGAGCTTGGATGCACTGACAAGACAAGGAGCTGAATCTTTCCAGCTGCGTGAAGAGCAGCTGCAATGGAGGCTGCTCTTTGCCTTTCTAGCATTCAGCTGCTTTTAGCAGTCTTGAGCTTTTTTTACAGCGAAAGTTGGCAACACTGGTGATAGTGTGTTTGTGTGCGTGTGTGTTTGTGTGTGCACGCCAATTAAACAGCGCCTGGCCTCAAGTGGGCCGTTTGATAACTTCCTCGCTGGCATTTGGAGTGCTCCAAATGGGGCGTTGATAACTTGGGATCATAAATGATGGCATGACACAACCAACCAGTTAACTAGCCAACTAGCCAACTAGCCACCCATCAAGTCGCCTGATCTGTGAATCACACAATATCAATCAACATGGCAAAGGATGATATCATGCTTGCACTCCATTTGCACCCTTTTCCGTGCACTTCACGGCAAATGGGATCGTTTTCTAATTAAATCGAATTGGCTTAAAACTGACCTACGAAAATATTTATAAAAATAATATAAACACTTATTATTTTATTGGTAACCATAATTTAATAATCTTATATTTATATGGGTATTAAGATTGTTTTTTCTCTCGATTGTTGTTCATAAATTTATATTTTGATTTTAATTTGCAAGTTGATTTTCTTATAATAAAAAATACTTATTCTTTAAACGTTTTTATTGGCACTTGAAATAC